AGGCCCCACCCATTTAATTAATGGACAATTTCAATTTGCATGTCTAGGTTGATCCAAATAATACATTTGGATTCATCACATTTAATATGAAATTTTCACTACTTGTAAAAGCTGTTGTAGAACTAAACTCCTCTTTTAACAATGGCCAAATTTAAACCAATTATACTTTTTATGTAGAATTCTTCTTGGACATATTTTCATTTAATAATAAATTATTATTATAATTAAAACAGCTAACAATGTGTTAAGTATCACTATAGCCATTTTACAAGTATAAACTCATTTAATACTCACACCCACCCTATCTCATTAGTTTCATTAACAAATGAAAAATCTATAGCACAGAGAGATTAAGTTACATGCTCCCAATTACCTACTAAAAGTGGCAAAATAGGGATTCAAACTCGTTTATTAAGGAGCGGCCTTAGTTCCTTCCATTAAATGGTATTGTTTTTTAACATTATAACACCTTTGTTGAAATATAATTCACATGCCATATACTTTACTCATTTAAAGTATATAGTTCAATACATTTTAGTATATTCAGAGTTATATAATCACCACCACATTGCATTTTAGCACATTTTCATTACTTCCAAAAGACATCCTATCCTTATTGTTTCTCCCACTCCCCATCCTATATTCCTGGCAATGACTAATTGTTCCATCTCTATACACCTGCCTATTCTGGACATTTTTTTACAAATGGAATCAAATACTATGTTATTTTTTGTATCTAGCTCCTTTCCACTTAGCATAATGTTTTCAAGGTTCATCCATATTGCAGAATTTATTAAAATCATATTCCTTTTAAAGATATATATATATATATATATATATATATATATATATATATATATATATATAAATTGACTTTTTACAGAGAGGAAGGGAGAGAGATAGAGTCAGAAATATTGATCAGCTGCCTCCTGTACACCCCCCACTGGGAATGTGCCCACAATCAAGGTACATGCCCTTGACCAGAATCGAACACGGGACCCTTGTCCTCAGCCAACGCTTTATTCACTGAGCCAAACCGGTCAGTGCCATATTCTTTTTTACTGCCAAACAATATTTTACTGTATGGATATATCATATTTTGTTCATTCATTCATTCATTCATTCATTATTTGAATGAACTTGGTATTTCCACTGCTTGGGTTTTATGAATAATGCTGTTATAAACATTCATGTATAATTTTGTGGGTGGAATAAGTTTTCGTTTCTCTTGAGTATACAACATAAGAGTGGAATTGCTGCATAAGGTGACTCTATGTTTACCCTTTTGAGGAACTTCCAGACTGTTTTCCACATGGACTGTACCGTTGTACATTTCCAGCAGCCAGTGTATGACGGTTTCATTTTCTTACACCCAAGTCTATACTTGTTATTATCTGTCTTTTTAATTATAGGCATCCTACTGGGTAGGAAGAGGTATCTACCTCACTGTGGTTTCGATTTGCATTTCCCTGATGGCTAATTATGTTGAGCATCTTGTTATGTGCTTATTAGCTATTAGGTCTAGTAATAATTAATGTCGTTTTCTAATACTTTTTAAAATCGAATTTATTTAAACAATACAACAAAATTTAATCAACAATATAGTTGCCGTTGTTTTCTACTACTTGTGCCCAACGCTCAGGAGACATTTTAATCCCTCTGTTGTAAAATTCTTGTGATTTCGATGCAAAAAATTCGGTCAATGCATTTTTGAGGCATTCTTCATTATTAAATTTTTTTCCAAGAAGAAAGTTTTGCAAAGAACGAAACAAATGGTAATCGGAAGGGGCAATATCAGGAGAATATGCAGGTTGAGGGAGAACTTCCCATTCCAACTGGCGCAGTTTTTCAGCAGTGATTCTTGCAGTATGCGGTCGTGCGTTATCGTGGTGAAGAATTTCGCCCTTCCGATTAATCAGCGCGGGTTCTTTTTCTCTTAAAGCTTGGGCTAACCTTTCCAATTGGGCACTATACACTGCACTTGTAATGGTTTGGTTAGATGGTAAAAGTTCATAATGAAGAATTCCTTTAAAATTCCACCAAACACACAACATCACTTTTTTCGCATGCAAGTCAGGTTTTGGCGTGGGCTGTGGAGCCTCATTTTTGTCCAACCATTGAGGCCGCCTTTTCAAATTAACATACAGCACCCATTCTTCATCTCCAGTAACAATTTGCTCTAAAAACGGCTAACGGTTTTGACGAGAGAGGAGCGAACTGCAAATTGTGACTCTTTGATTACGGTTGTTGTCGGTCGACTCATGAGGAACCCATTTTCCAAACTTTTGGACTTTGCCAAGTGCACGCAATTGATTGGAAATGGTTTTTTGTGAACAATTTAAAGTTGTCGCAAGCTCTTTTGGGTAATTTGAGGATTTTGCACCAAAAGAGCTTGAAGAGCTTCTTGATCAAAATTGGACACACGGCCTCGACCACTCTTGTCATCTAACGAAAAATTTCCCTCGCGAAATTTCTCAAACCAACGCTGGCATTTTCTGGCGCTAACTGCATCTTGACCAAGAGCACTACAGATGTTTTTTGCAGCCTCACTTGCTTTTCTTCCTAATTGAAACTCGTAAAGCATGCAGTGCCGAATATGCTCTTCATCTGCCATCTTCTTAGCCCTAGTTTTGCAACAAAAACCAAACCAAACACAAACTTTTTCAAGCAAATCTTGTTAATTGCACTTCACACGTTCTGTAGATACCACGTGTTTGACAGTTATGTCAATACAAGTCAACGCCAAGCAAGATTTTAAACCACATGTGTCAAACACAAGGCCCGCGGGCCAAATCCGTCCCGCCAGGCCTTGCAATGTGGCCCACACCGCGCTGTCATCACTGCACTCCGCTGCGTTTCCATCACAATGACAGTTTATGACTGTTCAGTAAACCATTCGGCCCGCGATTTAGGCTGGATTTTAGATTTTGGCCCCTTCTCTGATTGAGTTCGACACCCCTATTTTAAACGAATGTTGAAAAACGACATTAATTATTACTAGACCCGATATTTGTATATTTTGTCTATTCATATCCTTTTCCCATTTTTTAATTGGGTAATTTATCTTTTTATTATTGAGCTGTAAGAGTTCTTTATATTTTCCAGATACAAGATCCTGATTAGATATATATTTTGCAAATATTTTCTTTCACCCAGTGGGTTGTCTTTTCACTTTGTTTTTTCCACTTTATTGATGGTGACATTTGAAGCACAAAATTTTTAAATTTTGATGAAGTCCCATTGATTTATTTTTTGTTGCTTACACCTTTGGTGTAATATCTAAGAAAGCTCTCCCCAAGCCAAGGTCATGAAGATCTACTCCTCTTATAATTTTAACTCTTAAATTTATTTCTAACTTTTCTTTAGCTGCAAATTAATACCACACTGATAGTACAAACACAAACACCCCATTTCCTTCCTTAGTACCAAAGTGTTTCTGTAGTCTAGGACTAGTCTAGCCTATGGCCAGAAACTTTTTGTTCATGGGATTGTAATTTCTAGTATTAAACAAAGGCTCATCTATGGAATGTCACAGTGCCACAAATTAAGGAAATGTCTAAGGATAAAACTACTCTCCTTGGATTTTATAATCATAACTAAAGAATAAGCTTTTATCACGAAATTTAAACTTAAGCAATCTCTACATATTCATAAGCTTAACTCTTTAGAAAATATAAGTCTAATCGTTGCACTTATAACTACTGAGATATGTCTACATGCTTTCATAGGATTTCTGTCATGCTTCCAAAATAACCATGACAGAGAAACGATAACTTAAGTAACAGAATTTAACTCAACTGAGATTTATTGAAGGCCTATTATATGCAAAGCATAAGAAGTGCTGAGATGACTAAGTCACAGTTCTTAACCTTAAGGTTATAATTTAGTGGGGATTAAGAAACAAAACAAAAAGAGAAAAATGATGGTTAGAGTCCTTCTTCATGCAGGACCCTCACATCCTGAAGGACTTAATGAGGGCTCACCTCTCTCATTCTGAGGCTCTGTAAATCCCTTGTCTCTATTCTGTGACCTAGGTGTTCCAGCTCTGAATCACAGAGCCACCCCTGAAAAGCTATGTAAAAATTATATTTTTATTTTTAAAAATGATATATGTAAAGGAGCGAGGCAAGATGCAAGAAGTCCTGTATAACATGAAAGTCTTCCTGTAAGGTAAGGAATACTCTTCCTCGCATGAATCTTTGTTTGCTCAAAGCAGGACTGCTCCCCACTGTTCCCTGTGGGACATACCAGATGGTTTCAACATTTAGCCTTTTTGAGTACCAAATGCTTTTCGGTGGCGCTCCTTTTTAATGTGTACTTTGAGTTACATCAAAACCTGGTTCTTTTTAAAGCTCCAATAAAACTGAATGTACACATGTCTTCTAATTTAACACGAGGTAACTAGTTTCCAGTGCTCTCTTAAGACATATTGGCACCCAAATCTACATTTCTCTGTTCTTTGTGCTTGCAACTCCCCACTCCTAGCATGCTAGAAACATCCTGTTGCTTCAGGTCAAGTCAATGTTTATTTGATGGAATCAAAGTTATATGCTCTTTTACCAGGAAGAGAAATTGGAGAATATTTTGGTTGAGTTGTGTGGTTTATCCACAGTACCACATTCCGGTTTAAATGATTTCATCACTCGGTCAAGAGGCTGCCACAATTTCAGTGGTTTTGTAGTCACAGTCAATAAAGTAAAGGAAAAAACACACACACTATTTATTTATATTCATGACTAAGCAAGTCTTGAAGGGAGTAGTTAGAAAGCTGCTTCAACAACTTAAAAAATGCACACAAAAACACTAATGACAGAAACCATTTATTCTGAGCTAGGAAAAGCAAAATAATCAATAAAGTTGTGAAAGAAGTTTTTGTCTAAATCAACTATGTCAGCTACTTAAATCCTATTTTAAGCACCTTATATAACAGACTTCACTTTAAAATTCTTTAGAAGATTTAGAGTAGGACAGATACTCTCCTTTCGTGTCTTTTGACTTACCTTGTGGCAACAAGAGGGTAGCTGTGACATGGTGATGCCCAAGCATCCCTTGTCCATGGCATGCAGTCATAAAGCAGCAAATCCTTCTCAGTCACAGCCATGAGAACAGGTCTCCACTGTTGTCTTCCACCATCTAGTTTTGCCTGTTACAATGGTGAAATCCAGAAAGCAGAGCTAACTATAACGATATGTAATTATAAAAGTCCATTCAGTGGTGGTCTGACATAGCAGGTCTCGAGTCTCCATTTGTTTCTCCATCCTTATTTTCTAAACATCAGTATTTTTCAAATATTTTTGTAAGAAATATATTTTAAATAACAAAGAATTTAAAAACCCAATTTAAATATCAAAAAAGAAATATTTTACATTACAACCCAATACACACACATATAAATAACTGAATGTAAAAATGTCCAAAACAATACAATCCCTATATTTTATGCAGTGTACTCTGATCATTTATATTTTCAGTGTATTTTAACACCAATTCTTTTTTAATATATATTTTATTGACTTTTTACAGAGAGGAAGAGAGAGGGATAGAGTTAGAAACATCGATGAGAGAGAATCATCGATCAGCTGCCTCTTGCACACCCCCCACTTGGGGATGTGCCCGCAACCAAGGTACATGCCCTTGACTGGAATCGAACCCGGGACCTTTCAGTCCGCAGGCCGAAGCTCTATCCACTGAGCCAAACCGGTTTCGGCTTAACACCAGTTCTTCAGCTCACAATCATCACAGTGACATATGGCTTCAAGGAGAATTCAAATTGATGAATTTTTTTTTGTCTCTTAAAGAGGTGTCTCAGAGCCCCTTTTCATTTCCTCCTCGTAAATGACTCGGGAGATAATCTGGATTGTTAGAGCACCTTAAGAATACATTTATAATCTGAAAATGGCCTAAGTGGTTCTGTTCTGTTACAACAACTACCACTCAGACTCTTTCTCCTAGCTAGAGCCCCCAGCTGATTCCAGGAGTGGGAAATGAATTCCACCCAGGGAAGTGACCCTTGTTCTATTGTGTGCTGAAAGCACAAAAGTACGTGATCTGACTTTCAGAATTCAAGCAAATTATTGTAGAAATAGCCGAAACCGGTTTGGCTCAATGGATAGAGCGTCGGCTTGGGGACTGAAGGGACCCGGGTTCGATTCCGGTCAAGGGCATGTACCTTGGTTGCGGGCATATCCCCAGTGGGGGGTGTGCAAGAGGCAGCTGATCGATGACTCTCTCTCATCGATGTTTCTACCTCTCTATCTCTCTCCCTTCCTCTCTGTACAAAAACAATAAAATATATTTTTTTAAAAAATTATTGTAGAAATAATTATACTTGTCTTATCAGTGAACCCAAATTTTCTAGGACTCTGTATTAGTCCAGAGGTTACTGTAATGTCTGGAGGGAGAATGCCATCTCTAAAAAGGTTCTCTAGATTCTTACATTTTTGGGTCACAGGTACCCCAAAGGGATTTCTAGTTTATGTTCACTACTAAGTCTGTCTCTGAAATTGTTATGGATAATATTTCAAGAGGGAAAATAATGCAACATCTATCTTCCCAAAGGGTTAAAATGATAACCTGATTTTTAAAAAATTAATGATCTCCTAAATTGTAAGAAGGAGATTTTGAAAGCTAGATCAGAGTATATGGATTTGGAAAACCTAAATGAAATGTATTTCTTCCCAAGGAAGATATTTTAGGCTCTAAAGGAAAACTGCTAATGTCAATAGAATATTCAATTTCAAGATAGAAAACTTTTTATTCAATTAAAATAGTTTATTCTTTAGCTCTCTGGAGTCCTTAGATTTTGGAGAATATCTTTTCCCTGTTCTAGTTACCATTGGAGAATAAGAAAGCTTCAATTTAAGTCATTCTGTTTGCCTATTTGCCTTAACTTATAAAGATACTGTTTGCTTTTACTGGAGTCAAATGCTGCCTGCTCTATATAGCCTGTGTTTTCAGTTGTGGTATCAGTGCAAGTAGCCTGGGGGCTCCACTATTGAGGTTATGGCTGGGGAAAAAAGGGACACTAATGTTAGGGTTTTTATTTGCTTGTTTCAACACCCATATATCCATATGCCTGCACATACTCTGGCCAAATAAGACCCTCCTGCAAATTCTATTTTAGAATAAATAGAATTGAATAGCATTAAAGATGAAAAAATGCTAATTGTTATTACTCATTCCCTAAATCTCTTCATCTTATAAATCTTTTTGACAAGTAATGTACTTCTGTTTTCTTTATTTCTTATAATATAAAACACAAAGCAAACACTAAATAAACGATTTCACTAATACTACTTTGAGTCTTTACACATTTGGGGAATTATCAGGGACCAAGTAGGAACTGTGAGAACAAAGTTTTTTTTTGGCTGTCTTGGCTTTTCTAACCTATACTCAAATGCTTAAAATACTGATTCAATAGATAATAAATAAAAAAATTCCCTTTTAAGAGTATAACCAACTAAAAGGTCAACTATCAGTCATGTAAAAATCAGTTATCATAAGAATGGAATTAGGACAGAAGTCTCTTTGCATAGAACAGATTATTTATCAGTTACCAAATATCTATATTATAGGTTTTCCCTTTTTTAAGCTAACTCAATTTATAACAACATGAAATAACAAAAAGGATAAATTACGAAGAAATCATTTAAAGTTCAATGACCCTTTTTTAATTTATTTGCCAAAAATGACTGGAACGGTTTCATTTACATGCAAGCTTTTCAGGAGATGCACCTCTTGCCAGAAGAAATGCTTACCTACATTAAGCAGGTTACATGACCTGAAATTATCTTGACAATTTCCCACTCATAAACAATCTTAGATCAGAAAAGGCTTTGGCATGTAGCAAGTCCAACCTTTATGAGATACATAAGCTCATCATACTTCTGAGAAATGGTATCCAATCTTCTACACCTTATTCTGAGAGTGATATTTAATTTGGGTAACCCAAACAACTATCTCAGAAAAGTAAAAATCAAGAGTATTTTAGAAACAGGACTTTGAATTAGTTCAGTGGTACTATTTTTAATTTATTATTATTATTATTTTAATTACCACTAGCCCTGCAGTTCTCCAATTAGATGCCACTATAGTTCATGATAAAGTATATTTTTGAAGATTTATTCTGGATCATTCCTATCCTTTAATACAATATAAAGTACTGACTTTATGAATACATTTAAAAGGATGAACAGTCCTTTCAATGCAGAGGAAAAGAACAGACATTGCTCTAGCACAGAGTCAAAGCCAAGAGTGTTCACTGTGCAATCAGTGGTACTATTTTTAAAATGGCTGAAACTTTTCTTCTTAGTATTATTTCCCAACCCTAAAAGTTGTCTTCTTAGACAAGATTTTACAATTAGTGACTTGTTTGCTTGCTTTTTATATGTATGACTGCATGATCAATATGAAATAGGGTAACCATTCTGGCTGTGAATGGCACCCCTGCCCTGTCGCCCAGCCTACCTGTTCTGCCAGCCAGGCAATATGCTTGACCTCCTTGCTGCCTCCTGCTGTACTGGTTGCACCAAGCATGGCGTTGAGTTCAGCCAACACCTGTGGGAGGAGAGCCATAATGTTGGTGTGGATAGCTACGAACCAGGAGTGTGCAGTGGCTGTATCCTTGCAGCGTAGGATCAACGTGTTCCTGCTATCGGGAGAATGTAGCTCTATCAATCTGTGTGGAAAAAGAAAACGAAAAAGTGAGCTAGATCAGAAGTCATCAAACTTGCCAGGGTTTAACACACATTATTGGGAATCTATTTTAATTTTATTTATTTATTTTTAAAATATATTTTATTGATTTTTTACAGAGAGGAAGGGAGAGAGATAGAGAGTTAGAAACATCGATCAGCTGCCTCCTGCATACCCCCTACTGGGAATTAAGCCCTTACAGGAAATCGAAACGTTACCTCCTGGTTCATAGGTCAACGCTCAACCACTGAGCAATACCGGCAGGACTAAACTGGCATTTCTGCCTTGAAGCTTGTATTTCTCTCATTTGGCAAATATTTAAATTTAATACGGCATATATTCACTCTCATTTAAACACTGGTTAGTCTATCTTTCTTAAACATATTTATTGAGCACCTACTCTATATACCAGAAACTGTGGTAGACATTGCTATTGGTGATACAGAGATGAAAAAAAATAGTCTCTTTCCTCACTGGGTCTCTAATCTAATGGGGAAGGCAGAAAATTAAACAACTAACACACAATTAATTACAGGTTATAAAAAGTGCTTCTATTAAGGACTATGAAGGCTACTATGAAGTTCTTATCTAAAAAAAGACACTCCAAAGATGGCAGTGACACAGGTTATAAACACATCTACCTGCACCTATCTACTCACCCACTCACATGCCTTCCCAGTGGAGATAGCCATCTAGTAAATCATCCAAGAAGCATGACTGCTGGATCACATATGGTAAGACCCTGTTTTGCTTTGTGAGAACCAGCCAAGGTGTCTTCCAAAGTAGCTGGATCATTTGACATTTCCACCAGCAACAAATAAAGAGTTCCTGTTGCTCTAGACCTGGATGGGTGGCTCAGTTGGTTGGAGCATCCTCATCCTATAGACCAAAAAGTTGAGGGTTCAATTCCTGGTCAGGGCATTTATCTGGGTTGTAGGTTTAATCCCCAGTTGGGTTACATAGGAAGGCAACTGATCAATATTTCTCTCCATTGAGATATTTCTCTCCCTCCCTCCCTCCCTCCCTCTCTCTCTCTCTCTCTCTCTCTCTAAATCAGTGGAAATATATCCTCAGGTGAGGATTAAAAAGAGTTACCGTAGCCCTGATTTTAGCCATCTTAATAGGTGTGTAGTGGTATCTCATTGTTTTGATTTGCAATTCTCTAATGACATATAATGTTGAGCACTTTTCATATGCTAATTTGCCACATGTATTTCTTTCTCTTCTGGTAAGATGTCTGTTCAAATCTGTTGCCCACTTTTTAAATTGGGTTGGCTTCTTATTGTTGAGCTTTAAGAATTTTTTGTCTATTTGGGTACCAGTCCTCTATCTGATCTGCATTTTACAAAGGTTTTTCTCCCATTCTGTGGCTTCTTTTCATTCTCTAATGCAGGCGTCTTCAAACTACGGGCCCGCGGGCCACATGCAGCCCGCAGAGGAGTCTGATCCGGCCAGCCAAGTTTTTTGGGCAGTGAGCGCAGCCGAGGTGTTACAGTAGGAATTAGTAGTTCATATAGTCCGGCCCTCCAGCTCTCTGAGGGACCGTGATCTGGCCCCCACTTTAAAAAGTTTGAGGACCCCTGCGAGTCTAATGGTTTATGATGGTTAATTTTATGTGTCATCCTTAACTAAAGAATGACCAGATCACTGTTAAAACATTATTTCTGGGTGTATCTGTGGGTGTTTCCGGGAGGCACTAGCATTTGAACCAGTAAGAGTGGCCCTCACCAACTTGGGTGGGCACCATGCAGTCCACTGAGGGCATGAATAGAACAAAAAGTTGGAAGAAGAGCAAATTTGCTATTCGCTTGAGTTGAGACATCCATCTTCTCTTATCCTCCTACACTGACACTCCTGATCCATGGGTCTTTGAACTCAGACTGAATTACACCGCTGACTTTCCTGTTTCGCCAACTTTGCAGACAGCAGATCATGGGACTTCTTGGACTCTATAATTGCATGAGCCCATTCCTAAAATTAATCTATTGTATTTCTATCTATCCATCCATCCATCTTTTCTATTGTTCTGTTTCTCTGGAGAATCCTAATAAACAGTGCCTTTTATAGAGCAGAAGTTTTTAATTTTAATAAAATTTATTAAAATTTATAAAACTCAACTTTAAAATTTTTCTTTTATGTACTGTGAATTTGGTGTTGCATCTAAGAAGTCATCAGGAATTTTTTTAAAGCATAATCCTACACGCTCATGGAGAAAAGAAGAGGAGCACTATAAAATCTTGGAAACTGGCAAGCAGACAGAGGAGTTAAATGATGTATCAGACTTAAAAAAAAGTGGGGAGAGCCAACTCCCAGCCAATCCATAGTGTAGAATCCCAAAGAGCTGAGAAATTGGAGGCACCAGGTACCTCTGACAGTAGGAGTGAAGCACACGGTAAAATAAAGGGTCTGGTGAAAGCCTGTTTCAGTGTTCCCCACCCTCAAACCAGCAAAAGGTTCAAACCCACACTCATGTCACCTAACTGGGTGGAAGAGCCGGTGATGTCCTTATCTCGAATCCTCTACCACGCTGATTTCTTTTTAAAGGGGCTGATTATTCCTACCTGGCTGCTTTGGACTCCCTGTAACCAGCTTAACATCCTTTAGACACATGCTAAAAGTTCAGTCGTAAAACCATGACAAGAAATTTCTTTCACTCCTCCTCCTGGCCTACTTAGCACCACAGATAGGAATCAGCTCATCCTTCTCTGGGTACAAAACGTTCACCTTCTGAAAAGGCCTGTTCACCTCACACAGTTCCTGACAGTCTCTCAGACACATCTCCTTCAACAGCCTCTGAATTCTGAAAATCCTTACATCAAATACCCTAGCTATTAATAACTGGGGAAATGGAATTAATAAGGGGTGTAATTCAGCAGTGTAATGTAGCTTTCACTTTCTAGTAAGTCTTATAAATTAAAATTAAGCTTGATTAACAAAGTCCAGTGGGCTGGAAAAAGGTGAAAACAGGCAATACATTAGTTCTCAGGGCAAGATCACCAGTTTTTCACGAAAAGAGAAATTTTGCAGTTTTTTTTTTTTTTTAAAGGGATTGTAAAATGGCAAATTAAATGAGAAGAAACAAACAAAACTCCAAAATTCTGATGGTTCTAGGATCCAGAAGAATTTGCCCTTGAAGAGGAAGTTCCCCTCCACCTGATAAAGGGGACAACATATTTCCTAAAGCCTACTGCTGTTTTAAAAGAAAAATTCATATGCAAACTCTCCTAACAAACACTTGGAGGCAGTCTGCCAGTAATTGTCTGAGTCCACAGGAGAGAGGAGGAAACAGCTACAGTGTGAACAGTTTTGGCCTCTGGTCAAACCACTGAGGATTTCCTGAGAACTGCAATTCCATTCTGATCGTATGAATCAAATCAATATTTAGATACACAGAAGCATAGGATTCTATAAGTCTAACCTGCTATTTCTTCTGTTTAGTAGTCTTTGACATAACTTATGTGCTCAATTCAGTAATAATCATATTGTCTGATGATGTCATAAAGCCAAAATTTACCTTGAACTTGGAAAACAGCCAATGTGAAGATGAACAAGACATTGTGAACCAGCTCTGAGGAAACAGATGTACGTTTCTGAAGAGCAGTGTTTAAGAACACCTTGTCCTTGCTGAACTCCACTCTGCCTCCGCGGCTGTTTGCTAAGGAATGGGCTCCTGTTCTCTCCCTGGACGTCATCATTATTTATTTAGCTTTCACTTTCCAGAATTAACTGTTTATAACTATCAGAAGCATCTAGTGAGGTCTTGAGAACTCAAGGTGGAGGAAGAGAATAAACTTCCTCCTCCTTTTTACTCATTCTGATGGTCAGCACTTTTTTTTCTCAGCTCTGGATAGTGAATATGAAACTAAATAAAAGTAGTAAAACAGAAAAAAAGGATGCTTTCTTCTTGTGTCAAATACCTTTTGCATTTAGAAGGTAAAAGATGAACCACAAAGAGATTCCTACATACCCATCAGAGTAGTTTATATTGAAAAGACTGACATTACCAATGCTGGCAAGGATGAGAAGCAACAGAATCTCTTCTACACTGGTGGTGGGAATGTAAAATGGCACAACCACTTTGGGAAAAAGTCTGGGAGTTTTTTAAAAAACTAAACATATACCTATCCCATGACCCAGCAATTCCACTTCTAAGAATTTATCCAAGAGAAATGAAAGTATATGCCCACAAAAAGAGTTTTAGAAAAATATTCACAATAGCACTGGCTGGTTTTGCTCAGTGGTTAGAGTGTCAGCCCACAGACCAAAGGGTCTCCCCCTTCCACTCTCTCTAGAAATCAATGGAAAAAAATATCCTCGGGTTATGATTTAAAAAATATTCACAATAACTTTATTAATATCAGTGCCAAACTGGAAATAGCGCAGGTATCTATCAATACAAAAATAAAGATAAAATGTGATACATTCATACAACACAATATTACTGCTCAGCATCAGAGAGAAAGAACTATTGATACATGCAATAAGATGGACGAATCTCAACAACCTTTTGCAGGCAAAAGAATTCTATCACAAAAGAATATGCTTATATAAAGTTGTAGGATAGTTAGAACTAATCTAATACTAGAAAATCAGAACAGAAGTTGCCTTGGAGGTGGGAGAGAGAATTGACTGAGAAGGGGCACAAGAAAATTTTCCAGGATGATGGTAATGTTCTAAATCCTTTTTTTTTTTAAATTATTTTATTTTAAAATTTATTTTTAAAATATATTTTATTGATTTTTTTACAAAGAGGAAGAGTGAGGGATAGTTAGAAACATCGATAAAAGAGAAACATAGATCAGCTGCCTCCTGCACACCCCCCACCGGGGATGTACTGGCAGCCAAGGTATGTGCCGTTGACCGGAATCGAACCTGGGACCTTTCAGTCCACAGGCCGACGCTCTATCCACTGAGCCAAACCGGTTTCGGCAATGTTCTATATCTTGATAGGCTTGGGTTATATAATTGTATGCATTTGTCAAAACTTACAATTTATGCATTTTATTGGATGCAAATATTGGGCCAAAAGGGAAAAAAAAACTATAAAAAACACCGAACTCTAGTTATTTATATGCATGCTTAACTATTTAGAAGAAAATATTTTAATGTCTGCAATTCACTCTAAAAAGCATTTTATAAAAACTAAATAGATGGATTGATGGATGGGTCAGTCTGTGATAAAGCATAGAATAAAATGTTAGTGGTAGAAAATGGGCATTAACTATAAAATCCTTTCAACTTTGCTATGTGTGGAAAGATTTTCATAATAAAATATTAGGGGGAAGTGAAGAATGATGGGATGTTGAGAAACACGTGTCTACCTACGGCTTAAAAACAGATTCCAAAGTATTTTCCAGATTAGGGAACATCTAAGCCTATTTTTTGCTCAGAGTTTTACAAAAGACTATGGAAGATAAAGATTTCCAAACAGAAATACAGTCAGCTAAATAAAGCTGCAATTTGATAAGTGTCTTGATGACAGATGTCCTGATGAAACTTATTTTTTGCTATTCCTATATAAATTGTGAATTTTTTGCATGGTTTTAAATGTTGCAGCTGTGTCACCTGCCATGACACTTCCCCTGACCAAGTGGAGATAAATTTAAGGATCAAAAGATCCAAATGATTTCACAGGTATTATCTTATAGATATTATCTTATTTATCCTTAAAGTAGTTCTAAAGAATATAGTTGAGCAGGTATTAGTTCATTTTACAAACAGAAAAAAAAGCCAACAGGATGACAGAGAAATTAAGGGACTTTATTTAAAGTGTCCCAGGTTCAATCCAAGGGCTCATGACTGGGGCATGCAGGAGACAATCAATAATTTTCTCTCATCACTGATGTTTCTATTTCTCTCTCCCTCTCTCTTTATCTCTGAAATAAACAAATAAAATATTTTTAAAAAGAAATTTTAAAAAGCAACAAAAATAATACAAATATATCAGAATATAATTTTAAAAGTGTGTAGTCATTTTAAAGATACTATTTTTTTTAAAGAATTTACTATGTGCTTGCCTCTATATAAAGAGTTTCATATTTAATCTTTACAATGAGTTAATTATTAAGTTTTGGGGTGTGTTTTTAAATATATATATATATATATATATATATATATATATATATATATAATTGATTTTTTACAGAGAGGAAGGGAAAGGGATAGAGTTAGAAACATTGATGAGAGAGAAACATCGATCAGCTGCCTCCTGTACACCCCCCACTGGGGATGTGCCAGAAACCAAGGTATATGCCCTTGCCTGGAATCGAACCTGGGACATAAGTTCGTAGGCCGATGCTCTATCCACTGAGTCAAACTGTTAGGGCTTGGGTGTGTTTTTTTAACAGACGAAGATATGGCTGTTTATGGAGGTGAAGGGACTTCTTCAGACCCTTCCTTTGAGCAGGTACCCAGATGGGGTTCAAATCAAGGTCTGTCTGATTGCAGAGCTCAGTCGGTTAGGGCATATCATACCACATGCTATAGAGCTGGTGATAGATTCAGTACCTCCTGAGATAGCACCACCTACATTTAGATGAGCTTTAATGTCCCTGTGGTCTAAAATGCCCAAGAAGTCTCTCAGCTATTTGTTATCTTCTATGATCCATTCCATCTGATCAGGTATCTGGCTCTGCATTCAGACTGGAGGAGACCATAAAAGTGAAAGCTCCTAATAAAAAGTTTATCCTTAACTATGTCTTTGGACAAGTTTATCTCTCCTCCCCACCCTCCCTACCCCCAATCCCTAACCTAAGTTTACTAGTAGCACTTCATGGAGATAATAAAGACAAACTCATAGAAACCAAATGTTTATAGAACTAGGAGGGACATTAGAAATTATCCAATTCAACTCTTTCTTTTCTTTTTTTTTTAATATATTTTATTGATTTTTCACAGAGAGGAAGAGAGAGGGATAGAGAGTCAGAAACATCGATGAGAGAGAATCATCAATCAGCTGCCTCTTGCACAACCCCTACTGGGGATGCGCCCGCAACCAAGGTATATGCCCTTGACCAGAATCGAACCCAGGACCTTTCAGTCTGCAGGCCGATGCTCTATCCACTGAGCCAAACCGGTGCCGTCCCAATTCAACTCTTTCATTTTACAAACTAGAAAACTAAGGTCAAGAGAAGCTAACTTGCCAGGGTCACATAATTAGTTGATAGTGAGATCTATAATACAGATCTCTGACTCTTTACACACCCACAGTATAAAGAATTTATACATCTAAACAAATATTTTAAAAATTTCTTTAGTAAAATTTTTTCAATTACAAAGTAATGCTCATAGTGAAAAAAGAAAGGTATAAAATGAAGACCAGAAGTCCCTTCTTTCCTTCCAATCGCATTTCACTCCCCAGGAGTATCCACCGTTATGCTTCTTGTCTGTTTGCCCAAAATTTTCTATAAATGTACTTCACACATATGTATGAAGCAATTTAAATATGGAATGCCAAAAACTATTCTCTTATCTCAGACTGATGTTTCCCTCCATGAAATTTAGTCAGTCATGTTATTGCAAAATGAATTGCAACATGTCTTTAAGTATGATGTTCTGCTTAGGTACAGCTCACCTGTTCTCCAGATCCGGCATGCTTAGGTTTCTAGCAGCAAAGCACATTTTGAGAGGAATGACCTTCCTGTCCTTGGTGCTGTTCTGGTGTTTTGGAGAACCAGAGTCCTCGCTGCCACTAAAGCTTGGTGACTGGGGAGCTGCACCTTCCCATGGCAGGTCTGATACTAAGGATGGCTTCTTGATATATGGCGTTACTTCTCGGATGAATTTGACTATGAACAAAAACCAAAGAAGGAGGTTAGCATTTTTGCTTCCTATAAAAAATAATAACTAAAATGCACACATTCATGCAATATCTAGCATGAAGCAGAAAACAAAGCCAAAAACACGAATTTAAAGAGCCAGCACACAGAATCTATCAGAGGGTCCTTTAAGGGCATGAAATACAAATGAAATAGCATTACTCTATTCTAAAAACTTTTAACTTCTGAGCGAATGTGCGTATTGTTCTGTCTTCCTAGGACACTCCTTCCCCTGATCAACTCTACCCAGAGTCACCTCCTCAGCAGCAGTTGCTGTCTCCTCTCTCCAGGGCATTACCATCACACCTCTACAACAACATCCCCTTAGAACCCTGGGGTGTAATCCTTTGCGAAAACTTCTGCTCCCCTGCTGGCTGTTGAATTCCCCAAGGCAGGGATTAAGACTTATTCAATCCTGGCATCCAATTATCGAGAACAGTGTCTGTTCAACAAATGTTTCAATAAATGAGTGAAGAAACAAATGAATAATTAAATTACTAAATTGTCTCAGGAGTTGACCAACTACGAATGAGTCTCCTGGTGATATATTCAGTACCTCCTGAGATAGCGCCACCTACATTTAGATGAGTCAACATATAGAAACATCTTGAAACTTTCACTTGTTTTTTCTGTTCACTGAAGCCATATAGAACAATCTCTTCCACATGAGAGAACACCTTCAAATATCTGAAGAATAAGATGATATCTCTCTCTCTTCACTGGACTAAGCTAAGTATCTCTAGTTCAATTTGATTGAATTCAATCAACATTCTCAGCTACCTACTAAGTGTCAAGCATGAGGCGAGGCCCTGAGAAACAAGAACAAATGAGGGATGGACCCTGCCCTCCTGCAATGACCAGACTACTAAGGAAGACAACTGTATAAACAGATCATTACAATTTTGAAAACAAGTACAAACAAGTACAAAAATAAGCATATTCAAGATAAGGTATTTCCATTAATGCTAGCCCCAAAATAAAATATAGCTTTTAATAGATGGGAAACTTTTTTAAGTTCAATTTTAAAGATTATATAAAATACTAGAGGCCTAGGACACAAATTCGTGCACACTGAAAGGAAATTAATTAGAAGAAATATTTTAATATTGCTATTCATCCTTTTTCTTTAATAGAAGTGTCAATCAAATTCACGATCAACAATGACAGATGAATACACACATGTGAGACTGGCGCCAGCGAGAGCTTTATATATCTAGATAAACTTGCTTAATTAGACCTGCTTTCTCATTTAGCTAAACTTTTTCCAGCCCAGTAAAGCACCCCAACTTCTCTTTCAGGTAATTGTCAGCAACACAGAAGAAAACATGAACATGAAGCAGATAATTATTGTAGATCACATAGGGAGAACAAAGGGTAAAATATTTAACTGCAGCAGTGTTTGACTATATTCTGCTCAGTGAGAAAACATGAAGTCATTTTCAAGGTCCGCCATTTACTTCTTTTCAGTTGGGTCAAATTTCTAAGCTTCTAAATCTGTTTTTCGGATAATGAAAATAGGATTCCACTGAGTCTCCTATCTACCTACTCCAGGACTTCTGTGAGGATCAAATGAGATGAGGCACGGGAAAATGCTTCACAGATATTTGGTTAAATGTGAAATGTTTGCACCTGGCTATAAAGCAAGTCGTGTTCCTGGGCTAAAGAAATTCCAAAGAGACTAACTGCTAGGGAGAGCAAGCTGTGCTTTGCTCCGTGACGCCATTACCCGGCGCCCACAGTGACTGTTTCCAGGCTGGGCTGGGCTGTGGGCAGCATTTTGCACCATGGGGTCTCAGCAGCAGTGGCTGCAGTTTGGTGGGCTGACACTCCGGGGTGGTGGCTGAGCCTGTGTCCCACTTGGGGGAAGCCGAGTGTTGCTTTGTGGGTGCCAGGTCCGCAGTGCGGTTTCTCTGTAAATGGCCAGTGTGCATCACAGCAGCTCCTGTGTTGAGCGTCTGCTGCCTGGTGATCAGTGTGCCTCAAAGCGATCGGTGGATGGTCAGACACTTCACATATTAGTCTTTTATATATATAGATTTCTTTTACCTCAGTCATGACTGGCAACTACTGTATTTGAGGCATGATGTTCTTTTTTTTTTTTTTTAATAGATAAACCAAAGATTAAAATCTTAGATAGCACTAAAAATTTAAATAAATGGTAGATGATTCAGTCATCATTAATTCTGCTAACATCAATTATATGTCATATCAATGTTTTATCTCCCTTTCAAATTCCAAAGTGGTAGGTCATCAGAGTAGATGATGGGAATTGAAAACAAGAAAGATATGATCATTATCAATGCTTATCAGTATCATAAGAGTTAGCATTAACATTTTATAGCTTTAGAAGCTTTATGTTTATGAAACTTTGCTAACAAATAAACTACTAAATCTAAGAAATAATCAAATGTATGCATATATGACAAAATTCAACTGTATAAAAGATTTTATTTATTTACTTTTAAAATATATATATTTTATTGATTTCTCGCAGAGAGGAAGAGAGAGGGATAGAGAGTTAGAAATATCGATGAGAGAGAATTATCGATCAGCTGCCTCTTGCACACCCCCAATGGGGATGTGCCAGCAACCAAGGTACATGCCCTTGACCAGAATTGAACCCGGGACCTTTCAGTCCGCAGGCCGACGGTCTATCCCCTGAGCCAAACTGGTTTCAGCCTGTATAAAAGATTTTTATAACAAAAAGTCTAGCTTTCTAGCAACTCAGTTCCCCTCCTAGGGTCCAACTATTCATTGTAAAGTACTCCAGAGATATACTAGATGTTCTAAGTATATGTACTACAGACACACACACGTGGATATATGTACACACACTTTCACATAGTGGTAGTATATTATGCTTATTGTTCTGCACCTTGTATTTTTACTTAATAATAGTGATAATAGTTTTTATAAGCCTAACATTCTACAGTTCATTTTATTGCATGATGTGGTGGTAGAGAGGCGTTTGGGTTCATACAGACCTGGTTCAAATACTAACTGTGCTTGCCATCTCAGAGCTATGAAACCTTATTTGCCTATTCTGAGGTCCTCATCTATATAATAGGAGTTAACACTAAACAAGTAACAATTCCAGGATATACTAAATATTCAGTAAATAGTAGGTGGCTTTCTTTTCCTTCCCTAAATTAGAAGGTTGGAAAAGTTAAAATTTTTAAACAGCAATCAATAGAAGAGGTGAAGGTATTTTCTTATAAGTTACTAAATAAGATCTGCTGAAATTAATCATAATTCTAGAAAACATAAGAGATCATAAAGGGCCGAAACCGGTTTGGCTCAATGGATAGAGCGTCGGCTTGGGGACTGAAGGGTCACGGGTTTGATTCCGGTCAAGGGCATGAACCTTGGTTGCAGGCACATCCCCAGTAGGGAGTGTGCAAGAGGCAGCTGATTGATGACTCTCTCTCATCTATGTTTCTAACTCTCTCTCTCTCTCCCTTCCTCTCTGTACAAAATCAATAATATATATATATATATATATATATATATATATATATATACACACACACACACACACACACACACACACACACACACAGATCATAAAGGGTTCTTTTTCAATTATGCCAACATTTATATATAGTTTGTGTGTGTGTGTATGTGTGTGTGTGTTTTCTACGCAGTTATAATACATGTATTTCTAGGTGGAGAGAGTTAAAGCTAGCTAGCTGTCTCAGGTCACCAAGGAGATTTTTTTCATCCTAGAAAAATGAGCAGTTGCAGCCAGTATATCCCTTGAGTGGCTGACTCAGGCATTTCAATGCATGCTTTAGCTTTGTACTTCCAAGAGAGGATTAGATCACAAGAACTTTGGCAGAAATTCCTACAGTTTCCAGTCACCGCCAAAGGCAGAGACTTACTTTTTGAACAATTTAAGGCAGTATACCAACTATTGGGCTACCAAATGAGGGAACTTAAAGACATTCTAAATGACTAATCTTGAATATTATAGTGGTTAGGAGAGGATCTTTCATGATCTACTTGGAAGTTCATTCAATCAAACAGTATCACTGAACTGGTTAATGCACACATATTTAAATAAAACATACATACATACATAGCCTATTGCATGGCTTTTTTCAGAGAGCTACGAGTTTCATTTGAGCTGACGACAATGGTGCTCACCCCAATCTACCTGGCCATTTATAATGGCTGAAGAACTAAGAATAGACGTCTATTTCTAATTTGCCTGAGATATGGGAAGATGGAGAGTTCATGGTGCTGTTTTAGTCCTTAGATCTTCCAAGTTGCCACAGTGCTTTAATCTCAATACTTGGATGAATAAATAAATTATTCCCCCTTATACCCTCATGTGCACTCAGAACCCTCAACATATTTCAGAGTTATTTCATTTTTCCTGAAAAAGATAATCCTAAAAATGTTTAATTAAACACTGATGTCTGCAATGTTTTGGGTGCAGAAGTTAATTTTCTTTCTTCTATGTACTGATCACTCTTATTAAAAGTGAAGGGGGCCGAAACCGGTTTGGCTCAGCGGATAGAGCGTCGGCTTGCGGACTGAAGGGTCCCAGGTTCGATTCCATTAAGGGTATGTACCTTGGTTGCAGGCACATCCCCAGTGGGGGGTGTACAAGAGGCAGCTGATCGATGTTTCTCTCTCATAAATGTTTCTAGCTCTCTATCACTCTCCTTTCTTCTCTGTAAAAAGTCAATAAAATACATTAAAAAAAAAAAAAAAAGTGAAGGGGGCTGTCCCCCATCCTAAAAGCATCCTTGTAGCCCTTTCTCTTTAGTGTAACAAAAACAGATATGTGTACTCTACAACTACCTGGAAAGATACCTGGAAGGATTTTTCATCAAAATATCAATAGTGCTCAGATATAGGTGTAGGCTTGCCTTGTTTTCTTCATGTAGTTCTGTATATCTTCATGTAGTCTGAAATTTTTATGAGTCCATATCATTTATACCAAAAGAAACATTTTTAAAAAT